CTGGGCCAGGACAATTAAACGAGGAGTCACATCCCTGGCGCTGGTTCGCTGGAAGGGCGATAAAGGAAGAGGCAGGGAGACACGGCGTGCACCAACAAGCACCTCAGCCAGGCATCAAAGCAGGGCACAGCAGCCTCAAAAGCAAAAGCTCCCACTTTACAACCTTCATATTGAGTTTCTGTCAGCCTTGCTAATGGGGCTGGAGCAGGACTGGCTGCCAGGTGTGTGAGCAGCCCTGGGGAACTGGTGCTGGAGCTCCAAAATCCGCACTCTGGTGAGCCAGCGCTCCCTGCTGAGCTGCTGGGCTTCTGTTTGAACAGGATCAGCAGCAAAAGAGTCACAAAACATTTAATTCAATCAATTATAATTCATATAAAATTATATGAATTAAAGTCACAATAATTTAATGTAATTAATACATTTTTATTTAATTAATTCTAGTGTGTTAATAAATTAAATTCAACCAAAAGCTCAAAATCCTGAACTGGAGACACTCTAGTCTTTACCATTACATGTCTTAGGAATAGGTTTTCAGGAAAAATATTGTAATATATTATTTTTAAAATACAGAAAGATTTAAAGAGTATTGCTCCTTTTATTCTCCAGGGTCTTTATGTTGCAACTCCATAATATTGCAAAGTTTTGCAATGCTGATGCTTTTCTCAAAGGCCCTTTTCTCCTGCAGGCACCCCAAGATATTGCACACAGTTAATTTTAATTTTTTTTTCAGCTTTTAAATCTAACCAATATAAAAAATAAAATCCTGGAAATTAGGCCTCAAAGTGAATCCACAACTGGAAATGAGTGAAAAGTTTTGAACTGAAGGCTGATGGCAAAGTGCCAAAACGTTTGGGTTGGGCAGAGCACGACAACTTTTTAAAAGAGTAGATGGATAAAGACTCAAAATACATTTCCCCTTTGATGTCCCATTCATTTAATGCACTCAGCCATGTAGAGATCTGTCTCAGAACAAATTCACTATCTTGAGCTGCCTCTGAAATCAGACATTCAGACACCCATAACACGATGGAAGAAACGATGATATTTTTTATTATCTATAAAGAGAAGAATGCACCTAAACCAAAGCATTTGGTGATCAGAATTTTTACTTTTAAAAGGTGTATTTTCTAACACTGAATACAGACAATAGATTGGAAATATTATGTGCACAGAATGTCTATCTGCAAGGAGCCCTGCAAACACACTGGGTTTTCACCTGAGGCCAGTCTCCAGCGCTGTGGCAGCTGGAGAAATGCAGGAAGATGAGATTTCCCTGGAGGCACAGAAGCCAGTCAGATCCTGACTCTGCAGGGACCACGCCTTGCTTTCATCCACTCTCATAATTACAAATAAAACAACTCTTGGGCTGGCTATTCCTTTCAGGCAGAACCTGTCTGACCTGTTGATGCGCTGACAGTGGGTTTGAAAATCCACCAGCCAGGGGAGAAGCTTTATTAAAGGAACCCTGGTGGAACACCCACCTCCTTTTCCGGACTCTGCTAAACTCCCCTCTTTACCTTTATCCATTGGGGATGGAAATTCAGCTCCTTCCAGGCACCACGAGGAAGGCTGGAGCTCACAAGGAAGAGAAGCGTTTCCCCTCTGCATGGGAGAGGAGCAGCCAATTCCTGCTGGGCATCCTGATCTGCAAGCCCAGCAGGGAAAAGCTGGTCGAGTCGCATATCTTGGACATTCCTGGATTCTTGTCACCCTTCACACGTCTCAGTGAGCACAATCTGCTTCTTAACTTCAGCCAAAAATCCCCCCCAGCCTGACTTGGGTCTCAGGAAAACATCCTCACATGGTTCCCCTGATCAAATAGACTACTATAGACTATAATATTACTATAATTATATAATATTATAGACTATCCTCATAGCAGAATGAGGGCTCCACATCCCTGAACCTCACAATAATTAGAATTAATTACTGTCCATGGGAATGAGGCCTGGCAAGGCAGCAGCCTCAGTGAAAAATCTGCAGTGCAGATGATCCCAAGATCAAAGTTCACCTCACAGAGTTATCAGCAGCAGGATGCAGCTACAAAGGGAAACTCAGCCTCACTTAGATCAGATATCCCAACAGATTTCACAGGCAGCACCAAAAGATCATAAACCTGTTGATTTTCTCAAACAAATAAAGCTCCAGATCCAGCAAGTTCCTATTTTTGCCTATTTTGCTGTGGTGCAGCAGTCACCCCAGGTGAATCTGTGTCACTGACAGCACAGAGCGAGACATCAGCCAGAGTGTAACAACACTCACACACCACCCCTGGCAAAGCTTCTGCCTGGATTCTTCTTTTTATGCAATTTTATGCCACCAAGAAAATCCATCTCTGGTGAGCCATATTCCACCTCAACATTCCTCCTTTTTTTTTTTTCCTCTATGTACATGTGGAACATGGATTTTCAAAGTTTAACCCAGCCTCCACTGCAGGTGCTGTTCTCAGATCATTCTCATTTACTGACAGGCACTAACATTGATTTTTAGACCCCACTTCCTCCTCAGCTTCTCCAGCACTGAGAAGCTCTGAGCTCTGTCAGCCTCAGAAGCGTTGGGAAAACGTGCTGAAGCCTCTCCCCAGCCAGACCAACTCCAGAGACAACCATCACACCACAGAATATTTCAACAACACTGTTTCTGTTGAGCTAATTTAAGCTGTTTTATACTCCCAGACAGCTCAGCTTAAAGCCTGCTGCACTCAGCTGTCCTTTATTGAGTTTATGTCAGGAATGTCCGTGCAGTGGAGACAATCCCAAAGAAACCAATTAAGAATCAGCATCAGCGCTGCCAGAGGTTATCAAATACCCAGCAGCTCGCTGAGTTTCACAGATAAAACACTGTAAAGAAGAGCTACAGGTGGTTTTGCTGTGTTGCATAAGAAAGGCTGAAAATCAATCCTGCACCTTTGGATGCCAGAGTTGAGCGATGCTGTTTAGGACTGCACAGACGGCAGAGCGACCGTCACACAAACCCCAGCAGGAACACGGAGTTCTCATCTTCACACACCTCCTCTAACATTAATAAAGATTAATATTGTCTTGTATTAATTAATATCCTGGTCTGGTGTGACTGAACTGCAGGAAAAGCTCTGAAGATTGGAACCAGTTACAATGGTTTATAGTGATGCAGTGTGTGTTGATCAGATCAGTGAACTCACTAAACTGACGCTGCTGGGTCATGACAGCTTCCCAAAGTTGGTTTCCTCTATTGGTTTCCATGTAAAATTGATAATACACAGCCTAAAACCGGGAACAAGCTGGGAGGGGATGTATTGGTGACACCAGCATTTGTCATGCTGTTATTTCATCCCTCATGTTATTATTTTATCCCCGATGTCACAGGGCACAAACTGTTGTTGCTGATTTAAATCGTACCAGGTGCAGCCCCTCCTTCTCAGTACAGAGATAAAACCAAACCCCACAGCCTGAAAAAACAGTTCTGGGCTAAAAGATGATTGTAGCAGACTTCAAGGAATGATGTTGCAGCTCTTAAAAGAACTTTTATGTTGTCAATTCCTTTCTCCCCAGCCTCCAGCTTAATTCCCTATAGAATTCCCTGTGCTTTTCCAGTTCCCTTCTCACACATTTACTTCAGAAGCACCTGGATATTAAAGCTTATAAAACATTTATATATCTAAACTCCTATGAATTATGGGCTAAAGCAGCATTTCACACCATGGCAAAGAAATTGTGCTAAGAATGTTCTAGCACAGGACAGCCTTTTCCTCCTTTCACCCCCATTTTCACCATTTTTCACTCTCTGTTAGAATTCTTCACCCTCACAAGAGCAGCTACACAAACCTCCAACTGAAACAAAAGCACCTTCCAATTTTTCCTTGCCATTTCAACCAAATGCAAAAGAAATTTTCATTTAAAAAAATAAATTAACTATTACTTGAAAACATTAAATATTTTAAATTTTTCATTACGCTAATAACGATTAATTTCTGTGCAATCAAAATAATTTCAGTTACTTGACAAACTGCATTATATGGATTTCCTCACAGCCATACAAATTCCAGGACACCAATTCACATGGAACATTTAATTAAATAGCTGGCCCATGGAATTTAATTCCAGCAATAAGTTGCACACTCATTTGCAACCTCCAATCTGCACCACTGCCTTCATAATGGCAGGCAGAAGGAAAATTAAAAATAAGACCTCAGAGAACGCAGAGAATAGATTGAAAGAGACCTTAAAAACCTAAAATCTTCATTTACAGCTTCTATTTCTCAAAGAAAACATCAGTTATTCTATATCAGCTACCAGAGAAATTATTTCTCTTCTCTATGTTTTAGCAATCAAAAGAAGTCACAAGGTAGCATAAATATTTTCATAAATATGAAAATTTGCATAAATATTTTCCCCTTGCTTCAATGAACATGCAATTTCAACCAATTAAAAGGGAAAATTATGATCCCTTTCCAACTTAATGAAGAACAGGAATCCAAAGAGGAAAGGGAAAGAAGGAGTTTGTAAAAATATATTTGGAACCTGTCATGTCAGAAGGGAAAAAACTCTGTCCCAGCTAAACCCAGGACAGAATCCAATCTGAGAAATAAATTATTCTTCCACAAAACTCTTTCTTTAGTACTTTATAGACCTGAATTGAAATTGCTGGAGTGCTACCAGAACCTGCTGTTATCAGTGAGTGAAACTGTGGGGGCACAGGTTGGAACAGAGCAGTGCTGCCCAGGAGGGAACAGCCACAAGCAGCAGTAAAAATCTACATTTTTCATTGGCATTTTCAATGACATTTCATTGTCAGCCTCCCTCCCATTCCTAATTAATATTTGAGTATGGCAGAGCAGAAAGTGGCATTAATGGGATTGCATCAGGGTCAGTGGAACAGCTCATAATGCCACTGTGCCCTATTTCTGAGGGGGAAAAAGAGAAATAAATTCAGGATAGATGCCAGCTGATCAGACAGACACAAATCTCAACAGATGACATAAAAAAGAGTCCAGAGAGAACACATCAGAGTGCAGGCAGATATAACAACATTCAGGATTTTATTACAGCATGGTTCTGCATCGTCATGTGGGTTTGCCAGGTTGCCTCTGCTCCACCTATAAATGGATAAATTTCATCTTGAAGCCTTGCAAAAATCAAGCCCTTGGAACTCCAGAGATTGTCTTAAGCCATTGAGAAGCCCACCACATCCCAGGTGTTCACAGAATCCCTGTTTTACCATGGAAGGAGCATTTTGAACCACATCCCAGGTGCTCACAGCATCCCTGTTTTGCCATGGAAGGAACATTTTGAACCATGTCCCAGGTGCTCACAGAATCCCTGTTTTGCCATGGAAGGAACATTTTGAACCATGTCCCAGGTGCTCACAGAATCCCTGTTTTGCCATGGAAGGAACATTTTGAACCATGTCCCAGGTGCTCACAGCATCCCTGTTTTGCCATGGAAGGAGCATTTTGAGCCGTGCTCTGCCAGCTGCTGGGGTTTGGTTGGGTAACTACAAATTGAACAAGAAATCCAAGCCGTGCTCTGCCAGCTGCTGGGGTTTGGTTGGGTAACTACAAATTGAACAAGAAATCCATGACATTTCATTGCTGATGTCAGCCCCCATTCCAGCTCTGAACTCTGCTGGCACGCTCTGGGCAGCGAGGAGCCAGCCTGGACAGAAAGTTTAAGTGACCTTTAAAGGCAAAACATCTGTTGGGAGTCATGAGAAGCTGAGCCACTGTTCAGGGAGCAGCTCCTGCCGGGAACACGCTGGGCTTCAGCAGCAGCAATGGTCACACAGCTCTGAGATCAGGAACTACAATTTCTAAAAATGCAAAAAACATAAATCTAATTTTTATTTTTTTTTCCCCCCCCAAATTCTTCCTTTCCACAGAAGACATCATTATTAAAGCCCATTATTTTCCTTCATACTCAAACACTGACAAATGACATTCTTAATAAGCTGTGCACCTATTTCATTCAACATATCAATATATTATTGATTGATAATTCTGTTAAGGACTACTATCAGTGCTGATGTAACTATCCAAACATACTTCTGAAATTGGAGTTCATCATTTTGGAATAAAAGAGTAATTTGAGTAGGTACAAATGTAGCATAAGATGATACACTATATATATGTAATATATATCACATATATTATATAATTATATATAACATTATATATCATACATAATATAAATATAAATGAAATATAGATAAAATAGAAATATAATATAGATTAAACACAAAAAACACAAGTAAAACACAAGTAAAACACAAGTAAAACACAAGTAAAACACAAGTAAAACACAAGTAAAACACAAGTAAAACACAAATATTGTATAGAAATATATTACACATATTTATTAAATATATGTGCATGTATATAATGTATATATACATTATATATATTACAGGTAATTACATATATATTACCATAATTATATGGTAAGTATCAGCATTCTGCAATAAATGTATCCTGAAAAAAAAAAAATTCTGAAAAAAATATATTCTGAGAAAATATATACCCTGAAAAAATATAAATATTCTGAAAAATATATATATATCCTGAAAAAGATCCTGATATAAATATATATCCTGAAATATATATATCCTGAAAATATAGATATATCCTGAAAATATAGATATATCCTGAAATAAATATATATATCCTGAAAGACACATATCTTATATGATATCTTCTATAAGATATCATATATATGTCTCCCAAAGACAGATCCTGGCACAGTAAGATCACAGAATTCAGTGCTGCTCCACCTGAACAGATTGGAATTCCAGCTCCAGTCAGGAGCCAGAGCCATCCAGCCCCAAAGAGAGCAAACAAAGGCAGGAGGTTTCCAGGAGTGAAGTCACAGTTGTAACATACAGATGTTTTCACACAAACCAAACAGACAACGTGGGCATGACCCAGAAAATAAAAGCAGTTCCTGCTCTTGGCGTGCTTCCAGAGGAAAATCCCAGTGCTCCTACTAAAATTGTTCCCTTTGAAACAAGACAATGCACCAAGGGCTGTTTCTGCACAACTGTTGAGAATTTCTCTGCCTTACAGAGCAATAAAAGCAAATTTATTCCAGTGCTATGAAATTATTAACACCCAGTACAAAACTGTTACAGGGGGTGCACAAAAATATTCTTGAAGTGTTTTGGGGCACCTTTCAATGAATGTGTCAGCTTAAAGTCAGAACAGAAAAGGGGAAAAAAAAATCAGAGGAGAGTAATAAATCACTCCTCACTTTTCAATTTGCTAAATAAGAAGCATTTCTCCTTTTAAGCCTATGGATGTCAGAATTTTCTGTAGTGACATTGTTTATAGCTGCCCTGCAGATTTGTAGCCAAAATTCTGCTTTCTACAGGGAATTGAGTTTTGAGTCAGCAGCAAAAGAAGGAGAAAAATTAAAAGCAAGTCATTTTGGTGTTTGCTTCTTGGAGAAAAAATAAGTTTCTTTTCAGGCTGAAGCAAAGCACTGCTGCTTTTTTTTTCCTTCTTGGACAACAGAACAAAAGGCAGAAGTTAATAAAGCAGTGTGTTAATTGACTGTATCCTCTCTTTGTTTCACAAGCCATTCCATCAGGACACTCACCTTGGATTGGAAAATCCGTGCTCAGATCCCTCCTGCTCCAGCTCAGAGTTTGAATGGCATACCATAAATAAAGTCTGGGTTCCCAGCCAGGGGAAAAAGAAAATTCCAAACAGATGCTTATTAACTAAGAACTTGCATGTTGCTTTTTACAACAGAACTGTAAAATTCCTGTGATCGTTTCACTAAAGACTGTGTGACTGAACAAGGAGTGAAGGTTGCATAGGACCACCTCAATTTTAACTTTTAACTTTTATTTTAAAGGCAATTTTAACTGCTGCTGAAAGAACTGGGTTTATAACGCTGAGCCTGGTTTAAGATGTGGTGTTGGAGGCAACAAGGAAGTTGCAAAGTGCTCGATTCCAACCCTTCCAGACACTTGATAAAGTGCTGAAATAAGTAACTACTGAAACAAGTCCATTAAAAAAAAAAAAAAAAGTGGTAAATATGCCAAATCCAAAGTCCTGCTGAAATAATTGAACTCTTTTCCTCTCACCCTGCCATGTCCAGGGGTGTCCTGTGTGCTCTCTGTGCTCTTACAGGACATCCAGGGGAGCATCCTGCATTCTTCCACTCACCCTGCAGTACTTCTAACAAACTTCTAACAAAGAACTTCCCTTTTTGCTTCCAAAAACCACATTAAACACATTGAGCAATGTGTACCATGGGAAGAACTGCCAGACTTCCAGGACACCTTCCATCCCCAGCAGAAACCTCCTCAGACAACCAAGCAATAATTTAATAGACAACCTAAGCAGGGAATAATTTCCCTGCATTTGTGGGGAATTCAGGCTGGAACATCTTTGGGTTCTGGTAGAACAGACAAGTCCCAAGGCCAGCATTTGAGACAGGACAATCATTTAGGAGCATGTGCACTGACCAGTTCCATATGGGATGTGCCATGGTATTCAGCCAGCTGTGCTTTGCAGAGCTCTGCTTGGGATCTGATGACAAATTCCACCCCAGCAAGGCGATTCCTCCCCCTCCACTTGCCAGACAACATTTAGAGAGATAAAGTTTCAGCCAACACCGTTTATTTGGGGAGGGGAATACCAGCAGCCCCCATATTTCATCCCAAATTGAAGGGCTCAGGAAGAAAAGCCACAATTGTGTGGCTGCCTGGGCAGGAACATCTGGGGTGGCTGAAGGATGCTGTGACGTGTTTACAAACTGCAGGCAGCTGAACTTATTTTTAAAAAATTCATTCCAAAGGCCTTTTGTTCCTGCAGGAATTTCCATCCCTCTGCTGGCTCTGCTAATGGGGTTCCCCTGCTACTGAAACACATCGAGGCGCCAGGCAGACAATTGCCCCATTTTCCAGCCTATTTAACAAGTTGAAAACATCCTTTTATTTTCTTGCTACAATAAACTGGGAGGGGGGGAAAAAAAAAAAAAAAAAAAAAAAAAAAAAGGGTGAAACTTTCCGGGGGTAAGAATAATTCATTGGTTTTTATTGTTTTTTTTAAAAAAAAACAAAATAAGCCAAGCAAGCAGTTGTCCTACACACTGGTACTTCCAAGAAAATCCTAAAATTAATGGGATGGCCCTGACAGCACTCACAGGAAGCCACTCTGTGAGAGCCTGAGTGATACAAACAGCTAAAGGTTTTGGAAAGACAAAAAAGCAGAAGGTCAGGAGTTCAGCCATTCAGATATTTTACTAAAAAAAAAACAAAACAGCTTTTTTGACGTTTAAAACAAAGAAGATATTAGTATTTTCTGATGTAAATCTCATCAATTTAAAAGCAGAATGCTCTGCACGTTGTTACTGGGAGTTTTATTATTTCAAGCTTTGTTTTGGTATTCATACAACAGCAGATGATTCAGGCTGCACCTCAAGGATTGAACCACTTACATTTTTCCATCACATTATTACTATGCTGAAACAGCACATTTCCATACTTCCATTAAAAATAAAAAAAAATGATTTATGTCAGGAATTCCACTCCAAAACAAACAGGACTCCCTCCACCATTGATCAAGCATTACTCACACGACAAACTGATAAATGCACTTTTTACACCTCTCCTGGCTGTTAAGGGATTACAAATGTAGATTTTTTGCTAACTCTGCTCCTTAGAAATTAGAGCTTTTCCTTCAGGAAACTTCAGTTTCTCTTTTGCTGGACAGCACAGATAAGCTCTGACCACAAACACAGTTGTTAATTATGAATTCATTTCCACAATTAAAGAGTTACAGAACACCACCAGTCAGATCACACCTCTAATTTTTAAGGCAAACTTTTTGTGTCTATTAAATATCTGCCTCTTCTCTCAGCCAATCTGGCAAAAACACAACCAAATCAATATTTTAATTAACCATAAAAGAAGAAACGAACATCCATGTGGTGAATCCATCTATATTCATATTAGAAATTATCCTGGAGATCTTCTCACTCTCCCCTCAACCCAAGTCCTGAAGAAGTTGCCAAGCTCTAAATGAAAATTTCTGTTGGGCTGGTTAATAAGAGATGCCCAAGAGTTGAGAAACCCTGATTAAAACCCCCCAAACTCTGAAAGCACACAGAAAAATGCACACATAATAAATCTATTTACAAAATGCAAAATAAAAATCTGAATTCAAGTGGTTGTGTGGCCCTCAACCAAGCAGGATTGCAGCAAGTTTTGTCCTACAAAACAAAAAACTTCATTGCTGGAGGAGTCCTGGAAGTCACAGGAAAGAAGATTTTTTAATAGAAGCATCATTACAACCTTTTAATGAAAAAGATAAATTCTTATTTAGGCTAAACTGGGAAAAACCAAGGCAGGGATTCAGTCGGTCTTTGCAATGACTCCCAGGTAAAGGAACAGAGCCCAACACTCTCCAAAGAAGGAATTTAAGGACACAAATATATTTTAGATCTCAAAAGAACCCTGAACATATTAAACCAACTGGATTCCCTTCCACCCTTGAAGCAGAAGTTC